GTGAAAAAGATTAAATGCCGCAGCAGATGTATGAAGCCATATATAGTGTCACCATTCTCACAAACATTAGAGGAAGGCTGGAGTGAAAGTCAGAACAAGGCAAAGAGGATTTCAGAGCAAAAACGTTACTGAAGATGAAGAGGGACACTTCATAACATGAAAGATTTGAATTCATTAAAAAGATAGCAACTTCAAACATGTATGCAACTAATAACAGAGCTTCCAAAGACATGAAACAAAAACTGATAAAACTAAAGAAATAGATAAATCCACAACTGTAGCAGGATATTTCAATATACTTCCCTCAACAACAGAACAAGTGGCCAGAAAGTCAGTAAGGATATTAAAGACTGGACCAACGTTGTCATCCAGCTTGATCTAACAGACCTTCAATAGAACATTTCACCTACTATGACAGAATATGCATTCTTTCCAATGCATGGAAAATGCTTACCAAGATAGAGCATATTGTAGGCCAGAAAACAATCCTTGGTCAATTTAAAAGGACTTAAGTCATAGAGAGTTGTCCTCTGACCACAAAGTCCTGGGAAAATCTGTAGATACTTGGAAACTAAATAGAACACTTTTTTATAACCCACGGATCACAGAAGTGATCGCAAGTGGGAATAGGAAGTCTTTTGAACTTCATAAAAAGAAAAACATGCTATTTATTCATGATACAGTTAAAGCCATTCTTAGAGTGGAATTTATAGCACTGGATACCCACATTAGAAAAGAAAAAGGAATCTTAAATCACAGCTTCAATCTTAAGAAACTTCAGAACGAAGAGCATATAAATCCACTGTAATCAGAAGAACAAAACTAATAAAAGACCAGGGCAGATTTCAATGGAATATGAAATAAAATTAATATAGAAAAATCAGTGACACCAAATGTAGACTTTTTTTGGAGAGGATCAGTAACACTGACATATCACTACTCAAGTGGATGTGGCAAACTAGAAAACACAAATTACCAAAATCAGGAATTGGAATTCTGCCACCACTACTGATTTAAAGGACAATGAGAAAGTACTATGAATAACTTTATGAAAATAAATCTGACAGCTTGGATAAAAATTGGAAAAATACATTGAAAGATGTAAACTATCAAAGCTACTTACTTACATAGAGAAAACCTGAATAGTTTTGTAAGTAGGAAAAAGTTGTAGTGTAAGTTTAAAACTTTTTGTTAGAAACTTCTACCTCCGATGGCTTCATGGATAAATCTCTCAATAATTGAAGAAAGAAATATTATCAATTCTACACAAATTCTTTAAGGATATTCTAGAGCAAAGAATATTCCCTAATTAATTTGATGAGACCAGCATTACTCTGAGAGTAAAATCAAGAAATTACAAGAAAAGACCACAGGCTAATCTCTCTCATGAGCATACATGCAAAAATCTAAAACGAAATTAGCAAATCAAAGCCAACAGTATATAAAAGGATGATACATCATGACCAAAGTAATTTATCCTAGAATGCAAGAAAATGAAGTTAATGTGATAAATCACATTAACAATTAAACAAACAGAAAAGATGATCTCAATAGATCTGGAAAAAAATTCTGAGCAAACCTACATCCATCTATAAGAACCTATAATACACTATCATTAGAAGAACACTTTCACAGCCTGATAAAAATAATCTATGTAAAACCTATAGCTAATATCACTTAATGAAGAAAACCAGAATGCTTTCCACCAAAGATCAAGAATAAAGCAAGAATGAGGATGCCTGTTTGGAGAAGAGCAGATGACTCTTGATCTCAAGATCATGAATGTGAGCCCCATGTTGGAGGTAGAGATTACTAAAACTAAATAAAACATTAAGAAATAGAAGAGAGCAAGAATGGCTTACCATTTGTATCCATCCTCATAATGTAAGTCCTGGCCAGCTCTTTCAGGCAAGGAAAAGAAATAAAATTCATTCACAATGGAAAGAAAAACAGAAAACTGTATTTATATGTAGTAGAGGACTAGAGTAGGTAGTATTTATATGTAGTAGTGTGTAGAGGACTAGAGACCTAGTCCTCTGAAGTATACAAAAAAGTTACGAGAACTGGTTTATCACAGTTTTGCACGTGCACACATATACATATACACACCCATAGATGGCAAAAATACTTATATCTGTATTTAGTCCTACAGAAAATTTAACTCTTTTAAATCACTTTCCCTGCTGTTATATTATTTGATTGCCATGAACTTGGAGACATGGAAACAATATGGAAATTCCCCAGGAAAACAAGAAATCTGAAAGCATGAATGTCTCAGCTGAGATAAGGTAACACCTTTCCTTCCTTCACTGGTTTTCCCCAAGCCACACCGACACAGCCCCAGGGGCTAATGTTTACCCCAGAGTTACACCTCTTTGTCACAAATGAGGCTGTTGTCAGAATGCAGCAGAGTAAACGCCAGCACAGCCCCTACGATGCTCCCGACACGTCCCATCGCCAGGCTTGTGCTGAATAGACACTGGCCTTTGATGTTTCTGAGCTCCGTGTCCAGTTTTGCAGGTTGAGAAGTGTTTCTAGTTCTTTTACTATGGCATGCAATTTGAACGGCCTGGCAAGTTCAGACTGAATTTAACTCATTCTGTTTTAAAACAGAGCTAGGCCAAAACAGACCAAGGACATTTCCGGATCCCAGCAAAGATTTTCAGGGGTGACAGAGTGCTGGATGGACAGTCTCCCTCACACACAAGGTGTGCTTGAGTAACACCTGTTGCGTGCCTATGTGCCAGGCACCGTTTCAGTCACTGAGGAAGCCGGGATGAATAAAACATCATCCCTGCACTAGAGAAGCGCGAGTTGGCTGGGGAAACGGCCACGTGGACAATAATGAAGACTGAAGGATGTGCACCATTCTCTGGGAGTGAGGCACGGAGAACATTTTTTCCAGGGTGAAATGGGGAAGGGGAAAAGGGAGGAGGTCACTTTTGAGATAAGAAAGGAATACAAACAATAAAAAAAGCTCTATGGAGTCTAGCAAGAAGAATGTGTACATTGCAAGCATTTGTTCCTTTTCAAAAGGGAAAATTCCTGAATGCCTTCAACTCATTGTGATTTTATATGCTAGTGGGAGTAGGCACCTGCCTTTATCAGCCGCCACACTGAGAGTGCGAACAGATACCCATAACCAAGCCATGCTCCGGAGAATGTCCCTGACCGAATGAAGGAAGCCAGTGATGGACGGACAGGAAAAGTGGGTACCAAACGTGGGGCCAGCTGTCTTCTGTGATCTGTGCCCTGAGATTCGCAGTGGGTTCAGACTGAAGCTCATCACTACCGAAAACCAGCTTGCCTCTTGGCTTCCTCTATTCCCCTTCTCCAAAGAGCACTTTCAAAAAAAAAAAAAATCACTTGAAGAAGAATCCCCATCTCAGGCTCTGCTTCAAAGGAACTTGAACTAAAACACCAGCTCCCTGGCTACACTCCAAGTTTGTATCTTTAACCTGTAAACCATACAATCTTCTATTCACTTCAAACAAGGCAGACACTGCTAGGAAGTCAAAAGCATTTTGTTTCATGGTATTTTCTTTGTTTCCTTTTCATGGAAAAAAATATATATATAATTATACCAACTTTATTACAACCGGCCTATAGACAATTCTATCCTTATGCTAACCTTTCAAAATTAGTACCACTACTTGTCTTTCTCACTCCTATCCACGTATGAGATCCACAGTTACGAAATGAAACAAACAAAAAAGGAGACTCTGAAATCCAGAGGGAACGGCTGGTTACCAGAAGGGAGCCGGGGGAGTAAGGGGCGAGGGAGATAAAGGCATTAAGAATCCAGTCACCTTGATGAGCACTGAGAAGTGTATAAAATCATCGCACCACGATAGTGAACACTTGAAACTAGTATAACACTCTTGTTAGTTATACACCAATAAATAACTGAAATTAAATAACATCTTTAAAAATGGTCATTCCTACTCCAGCTTCGCTGAGTAATATTCCTTCTTCCTTCTCCAGTGGTGAAGCTACTTTCTTTCTGTTTCCACTCACTATAGTAGCCCAAGCTCTCCACACGTACCTTTATTGTTTCCCTTTCAAAAACGGTTAAATTCTCAAGGAGGAAAGCACTTTTCTTACCCCCCTTTATTCTTTATTTTGAAGCTTACTCCTAGTATGAGTACCCATCTTATAAACTGGCAAATGGAATGGAATTCAAAAATGAAAAGAAATGATACTGCAATCATTAAAAACATAAATGACAGGGGCGCCTGGGTGGCTTAGTCGGTTAAGCGTCCGACTTTCGCTTAGGTCATGATCTCGCGGTTCGTGGGTTCGGGCCCCACGTCAGACTCTGTGCTGACTGCCAGCTCAGAGCCTGGAGCCTGTTTCAGTCTGTGACTCCCTCTCTCTCTGACCCTCCCCTGCTCACGCTGTCTCTCTCTCTCTCTCCTAGAAATAAAAAAAAAAAAAAAAACTTAAAAAAAATTTAAAAAAAAACCATAAATGACATTATAATCGTAATGCACTATTACAATCACCACTACATTAAAAAAGTCACAACTGGAAAGCAGTGTGTAACTCATCACAATCCTAGTAAAGTGAATCATAACATTATCCGAAATAAATTGCACTGACTGCCACTTACATTCATTATTCTAAAAATTGAATGAAATAATTATGAGGCTATAGTTAAGTTTTTGCCCCATCTATTTTTTTAAACATTAATCAAAATGCATTAGAATATAAGACGGTAATTAATGAAAAACGGGAAGAAAAACCCTAGAGACAAAATGCTGATCATGTTCATTTAGGGTTAAATATTTAATGCTTGCTCGTAGAGTGAAAGGCATCGACTCTACAGCATGTGAAAGTTTTAAACACAGTATGCTTTAGATTTTTACACATAAAATAGCCTCATAATAATTGAGAAGCTGTATATTTAAATCAAGATGACATAGAGTTAAGAACAACAAGTTGAAATTACACATATTTGAGAAAACAGCATGCTCTTCAAATAACACCTACACCCCTACCTGAAATCGTTACCAGCTCTTCTGCCATTTTCTGGAATCCCGGGGTCCGGACACATGTCAGAGACCAGCGCAGCGCCCCCTTGACTCACTGTGACAAAGAGAAACAGTCTTGTAAGTGTGTGTAGCTGCTGGGGAAGTCCTGGGAGAATAAATTTATGTTAGGCAGGCTTGGTTCTTAGATCATGATGACTTACTTAGGATGTGATTTATTTTGGAATTGAGATAAGTGAGGTACGTTAAAATAAATCGTTATTCTTATATCTGAAAAACAAAGACTTCTTATCCAGTAAAAAAACGCCAACATTCTTTAGGCCACCTTCTGTTGAAATGGTCAAAATGTAATTCTAAAGAATATATTTTCTTATTATGTTAAGCGTTACAATAGGTTACAACTAATAGCATGGTGGGACAAAAAAGAGCAGAATGGTAAAAACGCCAAAGTTTATACAGAAGAAAGCCTTCGTCCATCCACTCTCCATGGATGAAATGAAGACAATATTTGTTAATACTTACACAGAGAGAATTTAAATAAATTACCTATGATGTTTTAAACGTTGAACATGTTTACAATTGGACTAAAAAGAGCAGTACCATTCTTCTTTCACAAATGTGCTGCCTTATTTTCTGAATCTGTTCCATGAAGCCTTCCTCCTACTGGGATACTGTACAATCAAAGAGTAGTTGTGAAAGGACGCACTTGCTTATTGGATAGAGAAGCTGCCACTCCAACACCCATCCTACCCCATAAACTGTCTAATCCAACCGAGGCAATGCCTTCTTTCTTTCCAGAAATTTGCTCACCAGGGGGCTTGTCACTCAATTCCATCAGGTGAGACATGAGGGGAAGTCTGTCGCTGTACCACCGGGAAGACGTTTCACTGAGCCGACAGGGACCATCTGTTTTTACTCCGGATTGTACTGTGTCTGGATTTCGAACGTGAACTTGTCTGTAACATAATGCTATGGTCCCAGAATGAAGACTATACCATAAAGGATATATAATATATATACCAAATACCTGGACCCTTGATATCATAGTTGAGGCTGAAAATTTACTGACTCAGGAACCTACCCTATCTTAACATCCTGTTGGGGAATTCATGTTCCCTACAGCTTAAGTCCACTTGAATAGATTAATTCATTATCTATATGCAAATGTTTATAATACATATATTAACTATATATAATATGTTTAAATATTTTTCCACATATATTTTAAATGATTCCATGAGAAAAATGTATCTGGGTCAATCCTGAAATCCTTAAGAATTTTATTAAAACTGTGCATAAAACATGATAATAATTACAGCAAGATTCAGTTTTCATTGCTAAATGAGGATGAAATTGGGATATGGACATAATCCCTCATTAACTACAAATCTTACTAGAATATATTAAATAAATTTATTCTTAGGAAGCACTTCATCATTCCAAATTAGTTAATCCTTATTTCTTACAGGTTTTAATTGAGATTTTTATATCACCTAATACTCATTTTGCAGTGTGGTGTGAGACATGGATTCACCTCTAAAATTTTCTTTTCTACTTAAATATTTGTTCTTCTCACTATCATTTAAAAATGATCTGGCAAGGAGGGCAGTGACATCAGTAAGATGATGGACGAGTAAGTTCCAGGAGCCCATCCCACAGGGAAACATCAAATAAAAATGACAGATGAAATAAAATCACTTTGTAGGAACTCTGGATACCAGTCAGAAGTCAACAGCAGTTAAGTAAATGCCCAATGAGCAAAAGCCACAGCCATAAGGGTAGGAGGGTTCTTGAAGGTGTAGCTTACTCTTGCCCCACACCTTCATTCCTGGCCTCATTCCTGGTTCCCTTCTGAGAATGGAGAAACACAGAGAAGCTTGTTTGCAAATTGTGACCTGGGGTCTGCATGAGAAACTGGTTTCTGTCTTGCCTGCTTTGGGGCTCATATGGGGAAACAAGCCAGATGCTGTGGATGGCGCTGGTGGACTGTTGCATTTAGGAAGTACAAAGACACAGAGGCCACGCAGGTGACTGGGGCCAAGAAATTACAGGCAAAAGAAGAGAGGAGAACATCTATGATCCTGAGGAGAATCTGGCATGAGGCCCTTTGGGGTAGTGAGATATTTTTTTTTTTTTAGATTTTTTTTTTTTTTTAATGTTTTATTTATTTCTAGGAGAGAGAGAGAGACAGCGTGAGCAGGGGAGGGTCAGAGAGAGAGGTAGTCATAGACTGAAACAGGCTCCAGGCTCCTAGCTGGCAGTCAGCACAGAGCCCGACGCGGGGCTCGAACCCACGAACCGCGAGATCATGACCTAAGCGAAAGTCGGACGCTTAACCGACTAAGCCACCCAGGCGCCCCTAGTGAGACATTTTAAAGCAGTTGGATGGGGGTCTGGAAAAGTATACAGAGACCCAGACAGGACATGTTCCCAGAAAAGACTTGAGGAGACCTTAAGTGTTCATGCGAGGCTAATCTTACAGCTCACTGGCCCACTCATTTGTAAAGGTCTTCCACACCATTCTGCAAAAACTGGGAGAGGAAGTTCTATTCCAGATGAACTTTTTTTTTTTCCCACAAAGATCACAAGTCATACAAAAAATAGAAAAAAAATGTGCTCAATTCAAAGGAGTAAACTTAATTTCCAGAAATAGTCCCCGAGGAAACACCTGCATCAGACTTACTAGACAAAGACTTAAGCATAGCTGTCTTAAACATGAATTTGAGTAGCGTCTGAGTGCTCCTCAAACTTGAGGAAAGATGTAAGTATACAAATCTAAGGAGCTAAACACACTCCAAGTAGGATGAAATCAAAGGCACCCACCATGAGACACATACTCAAACTATCAAAAGACAAAAACAAACCTTGAAAGAGAAAAGCACTAAAATCACAAAAAGAGATCCCCAATGAAACTGCCAGGCTTCTCAGCAGAAGCCTTGTGGGACAAAAGACATTAGGTGAAATATTTAAGTACTGAAAGAAAGGCAGCTGTGAACCGAGGATTCTACATCCTGCAAAGCCTTCCCCCACAATAAAGGGAAAATTAGGCATTACCAGACTAAGAGAAAAACAAACTAAAAAAGCAGAGAATTCATTACTAATGAATGGCGTACTTCAAACTGAAATGAAAGGGTACTAGACAATAACTCAAAGCAAAATAAAAACACAAAGTTCTCTTGTAAAAGTAATTATAGAGAGAAATATTTTTAAAAATCCCCTATTATGTGTTGATTTGAAACTCCATCTTTATAATTTTCTACATGATTTAAAAGATAAATGCATAAAAATATTACAAATATGTGTTAATAGGTACACAATATATAGAGACACAATTTGTGACATCACAGCATAAAGTGGTGGTGAGGGCATAGTGAAGGACTACAGGTAAGTTGGGACCAATCTGAGGCAGACTGCCATAATTTTAGGATCTTCTGTGTAATCTTTACAGCAACCACAAAGAAAATACCTATGGAAAATGCACAATGGGAACTGAGATGGGGACCCTAATAGGGCACTACAAAAAATTAACTAAACACAAAGAAAAATAGTAACAGGAGAAATGAGGGCCAAAAAAAGCTATAAGACATACAGGAAACAAATAAAAACAGTAAAAATAAGTGCCTTCCAATCAATAATTTCTTTTTTTTTTCTTTTCTTTTTTTTTTTCTTTCTTTTGGAGAGGGAGAGGGAAAGGGAGAGGGAGTGAGAGAAAGAGATACACAGAATCTGAAGCAGGCTCCAGGCTGTCAGCACAGAGCCCTATGCAGGGCTTGAACTCACAGACTGTGAGATCATGACCTGAGCCGAAGCCAGATGCTTAACTGACTGAGCCACCCAAGCGCCCCTCAATCAGTACTTGTCTAAATGTAATCAGCTCTATGTATTGCTGAACTGTGTCCCCTCAAAATTCACATGTTGAAGCTCTAGCCCCATCTTTACGAAAGTGGCTGCATTTGGGGAAAAGCATTTGAAGAGGTGAGTAAGTTACAATAAGTCATTGGGGTGGCCCTATTCCTGTAATAAGCGGTGACCTCATAAGTAGAGGATTAGCACAGACACTCACAGAGAGAAGTCCACGTAAAGACAAAGGGAGAAGACAGCCATCTACAAGTCAAGGAGAGGACCCTCAGAGAAACCTCCCCGCCAACACCTTGATCTTGAACTTCTAGCCTCCAGGATTGTGAGGAAATCAATTTCTGTTGGTTAAGTCACTCAATTTGTGGTATTTTTTTTATGGCAGCTCTTGCTGACTAATATAATTCCTAGTCAAAAGACACAGATTGTCAGAATGGATACACAAAAACACACCAGGACACACCTATGCACTGTCTACAGGAGACTCACTTTACATCCAAGGGCACACAGCAGCTGAGAGTGAAGAGTTGTCTAATTCACAAAGCCAGGATGTCAAAAGGTGGTTTCCCAAAGCTCCGGGAGAATGGCCGGGGGAGTCTCTACTGTTTCACATGCATAAAGTTTCAGCACGGAAGATGCAATTTTTCTGGAGATTTGGCTATCTTAAGATCACCACGGTGGTGATGGGTGGACAGCAGTGTGAATGTACTTAATGCTACAAAATGTATACCTAAAAATGGTTAAAATGGTAAATTTTATGTGACATGTATCCTACCACTGGATGTGCATGTGTGTATCCCAACGAGTCATGAATTTGCGACCTGTCAGCAGGTCAGCTTCTAGCAGTTGGGCAGCTGTACATAGTCCACCGTCCACATTTCGCTTTCTGTGACCCAGGGTCAACCACAGTCCAGAAGCCGATGATCTAAAGCCTCAAGCTGCATCACAGCACGTGTGACACTACCCTCATTTCACCTGATCGGCTTGGCTTTTCATCATTTCCCTTCATCACAAGAAGGGTAAACACATTCAGGACAATAAGATATTGTGGGGGGGAGAGAGATACACACTCACATAGCTTTTATGACAGTATATTGTTATAACTGTGCTATCTTATTAGTAGTAATTGTTGTTAGTCTGTTATTGTGCCTAATTTATAAAATTAGACTTTACACATACTATGTAGGTTGAGGAGATAACGTAGTGTCTATGGGATTCGGTACCGACCATGATTTCAGACGT